CACTTTAATATTCCTAACAACTATTACAGGTGATTATGTAGTAATTGAATATGGGAGAGAAGGGTAGCATAAGATATTGTACGTATCTAGAATGGGCTAGCCAAAATGTTTTTAAGCAAATAGTCCTGGAGCTTATCTGTTTGTTACGATAACTATATTTTCTCATTTTTTTGGTGTTTTATTTGTTTGGGTTGTGGTGTGGAGATTTGTTGTTTGTTGGTTTTGTTTATTTGATGCTTTTACATAACAGATAAAAAAAGCAGGACACCAAAATACCAGTAGGTTCCAGTGGCCCTTGAAGTTTCAGCTTCCCTGCAAAGAGAGAGCAGCTGCATTTCGCTGGGGCACTGCACAGCTTGGGAAGAGAATGGCCTTGTCAGAGCTCAGCCATTAAACCACTGCCTGACCCTGCACCACACAACACTACACCCCCATGAACTTTTCATCACATCCTACATATTCAATGTAAACACCAAGAGAGAAATTTGAAAGCTTAAGGATGCTGGGATAGCCAGGATATTGTATAACAATCAGCAAGAAGCCACTTCACATTCAATTTTTGAAATGGAGGGCTTAAGCTTTACAAACATTGCTACCATATCCCTTAACTCAGCATATTATTACCATATCAATCTTATTTATGTTGCTATAAATAGATCCTACATCTTTCCTCTTCATTGTTTTTATCTTTCAGTGTATCTGGGTACAAAATCACTTGTACCACAGCAACAAACACACAAATGACAAAAGCTCCCAAACCACATGCATTGACCGACTGCAGAAAATCAGTAATATTTTAATGGGTGGTGAACAAAGAAAACCAAACCAAAACATCTCTCTTGCTTCCCATGCCTGTCAAGTGCGCTTTGATGGAATGGAATTCATTCAAGAGTACCAACATAAAGTTTCATTCATAATGCAGTCTAATAACTCCAGAAGAATGAGAGTCACCAAGAAAGTAAAAAAACAACCAAAGAAACAAAACCAAAACACAAAACCAAAAACCCTCCAAAAGTGAAAATAGTTAACAGATAGAAAAATACTACAATAGACAAAGGTAAATGTTAGCTTAACCTTTTATATCTGTTTTCTCCCTACCAAGCAGCTGAATTTTTCAAGAAGTCACATGATTTTGCTTTCAGTAAAATGCTTAGACCTAAAATCCCTGCTTTACAAAGTAGGACATAAAGGAGTTCAGTTCAAGGCTTCTTTTACACTGTCTTGATTCCTTCATCATATCCCGACTCCCAACCACCTCTACTACACAATTTTCACTACAGAATTTTACCAAATCCTGGATGACATTCTAATGCCATCATCATTACATGATGGATTAGTACCTTGACTAGCTGAAGATCAGTCTCATGTAACCTACAAATCTCAAAATCTGATGCTTCAGTCTTACTGTGCTTTATTCTGCAGTGTTTTCATAGAGTGATTAAATCACAGATCCAAACTGTAATATTATTCAGTATAATAACAAGGAGAATAAACGTTCAGTTGGAGAGCTTGTAAGTAAAAGAGATTTTAACGGTGTATACAAAACTTTTGGACCTTAGACACCAAACTTACACATGTACCTTACATGTAGCCCAAACAGAAGGAGGCTCTTTCCTGGAGATTTAAAGTCCCTGACCAAGGTTTCTGCATTGAAACATCCTGTGGATCTATACATAGCAGGTTAATGTCCTAGTTTAGCTTATCAGAGAGCCTGAAGCCGGGGAGCAGGAATACCTGGACATTAACATGGTGCTGCTGGCCTGTATTAAAATATTCCAGGTGGCCAGTGCCTTTGGTGACCACGCTTAATCCTTATGGACCCAAAGACCCTGCAGCAAGCTTTGTCTTTATGTGCTAACAAGACATGCCTTGAACTTTCAAACACAGCAGCTGTCTTCTGTCAAACAGCCTCGTCACTCTGTGTGCTCACAGCAGTGCTGTGTCTTCTCATCCTTGCACAGCCCAGCCCGCAGAATCCCGAAGCATCTTCAACAGCCTTGAAGCTGAAGCCAGAGGTATCTGTTCCACCTGCTCTCGCAGCTGGCTTGCTTCCAGTGTACTCACACGACCTTCTGAGAACTGCAATTCCCAGAACATCTGTACTTACTGTGCAGCACAGCAACGGGAGAACGCTGCTCGAAAGGCACTCGCTTTCCCCACGGAGCTGGCTGCTCCCTGAACAAGCAGCAAGGATGCAGAGGGATGCAGGGACAGAGCTGCTGGCTCCTGCTGGCCCTGCACTCGGATGAACTGCAAGACACCATGACTCAGCCCCAGACGGCTCCCAAGAGCTCACAGGTCACAGCTCTTGGCAGAGTGTGGGATATGAAGGGAATGACATAACAACAATGAAAACAAAACAATCGACAACAGGAACCAAAGACTCTACGCGTTCCGAAAAGTCGTCAGCTCCTCTGCTTTCTTCACAACCAAATGAGAGATAGGTTGGACTTGATGATCTTAGAGGTCTCTTCCAACCTCATTATTCTGTGATTCTGTGATAGCAACAAAGTGAGAAGTCACTGTCAATCTGATGAAAGAAAAAAAGGGAGAGGGACATTGTGGGAATCCAGGGCTTCCCTCTGGCTGCCCTGGCAGGTCTGGGACCCTGGCAGGGGTCAGGAGCCCCCCTGGACAGAGCCCCCAGAGACACTGTCTGTGATCTCTGTCCATGGAAAAGAGTTTTCAATCTTACAGGATGAATTACCAGCTCTGAGTGTTTGATATAAGCAATAATTAAGTGTGGCACAGGTGCAAAAGTAAAATTTTAGGATTCTAGATGAGGGGTCCAAAGGGGACAAGATGGAGGAAATTGGGTGTGCCTTGTCCTTTTTCTCCTTCTTCATGCCCTCCATGTTTCACTGTGGTGTTGGCATTTTTCTGTTGGTTCAGGCTGGGGACACACTGTCCAACGTAGGTGACAGATATTGGCACGTTATTGTAAATGCAGCACAGGTAGTTTCTGGTATTTAATGTTTGTACCATCCCACTGAGGGCAGAGCCCCACACGCTGCCCTGCAGGACAGAGCTGCGGCAGGGCAGCAGAACATGTTAGAGATAAACAGAATAAACAACCTTGAAACCAGCACAGACCAATTATGGCTTCTGCTTTGGCAGTGGGGCTGATAGAGACTTTCTACAATCTCGGAATCCCCAATACCCACAGATTCCGACAGGACATCTGCCAGAGAGAAGTTTTAAACCAACACAGGGAAGAGGGTAATTTACAGAGACTACAATAAAATGAGAAGCTCCCAACCCACCTAAGGCAAGTAACTGCCGATTCATATTTAAAAGCTATAGAAGAACAACCTTTGAGGAAGACATTATGGATAGGATTTTATTGTTTTATGTGTTCAAAAGAATAACATGACGCATCTTAAATCAACAGGAAGATACCTGCAGTAAAAAAAACCATAAATTAAAATATAAATAAAAGCAACGCTGAAATACTCTATGAGTTTTTCTACTGATTTTCCTGATTCCTATTTTAATAAAAAAGTCAAATCCAAGAAAAAGTAGGGAAAGAACCAAGAAAAAGAGAAAACCATTAAAAGAGAAAATCTTTGGAAAGAAAACTCCTACAATTTACAGATATTTTGAAAACCAAAACTTAAAAATACTCCTGTAATACAATTGCCTTTAGAAAATAAAAATCTTTGATGCTAAGCGAAAAATTTTTGTTTCCTTTTATGAAAGCTCATTAGAAGATTAACCTTGCAAAGTTTAATTACTGCCTGGACAATCTTCAAAAGGATCTGAAATCAAGTGTCTTGTACCCTATGCAGGTAAGCCTCACTTCTTGCAGCGTTCAAGCATAACAATCAGTTGAGTTTTATTTACTATATCCCCAGGGGAAGTGCTCCTATCAAAATAATGGCATCTAAAAGGGCTTTTTTAAACTAGAAAGTGCTTACATTTTTCCTCATCACCTTTCAGAGCTCATTGCCAGCATGGAAATATGGAAATAAAAAAATAAAAAAAAAAGAAAAAAAAAAGGCAACAAAACAAGAAAAGAAACCAGACAGAGGGAAAAAAAAAGTTCTTGTTCTTTGTGGGCACAAAAAACCCCCAAAAGCGCGAAGGGGAAGCGCAAAGGCAGCAGACAGAACTAGCAGTTGTAGCGCACACACTCAAACGCTGGGCAGGCAGCGGTCCCACAGGGAGGGTGGGAAGGAGGGAGGGAGGGAGGGAAGGAGGGAGGGAGGGAGGGACACGCTGCCTCAGCCCCAGGAGACCCCACAGCCACAATGTCAGCGTCCCCACGAAGGCAACTCGCACCCGGCCGCCGCCATCCCCCTCAGCCGGCGGGACCGGCGGGACCGGAGCCCCTCAGCCCGGCCCGACCCCGGCCGGCTCCGCCACCGCCCCCTCCCCATCCCGCTGCTCCGCCCCGCGCCTGCCCCCGCGCCCATTGGCTGGCTGCCGCGTCAATCAAGCCAGATCGCCGTTTCGATTGGCTGTGTGGCGGCAGCGGTCCCGCCCCCGGGCAGAGGGCCGCGCTGGCGGCGCGGCGCGCAGGCGCAGAGGCGGTGTTGTGCCGGGGGTGGGCATGTTCCGAGCAGAGGAGCGGCCGCCGGCGCGCCGCGGGGAGGGGGCGGGCGCGGCTGGAGCAGCGGGGCCGCCGCCGCCGCCGGGGAGCCAGCCTCACTTCCTAGGAGTGCGGGGAGACCACAGCCTGCCGGGGGCTGCGAGCGCTGCCGCGGACAGATCTGTGCGTGTGCATCTCTTTCTCTCTCTGCCTCTTTCGCATGTGCCTGTCGGACTCTGCACACACGCGCGCCTTTCCCACCCGCCGCCGGGCGGGCTGGGCTGGGGTACGGGAGGGCGGCGCGGGCGGCGGGGCAGAGTCCTGCGGAGCGGAGCGGGGCGGGATGCGCTCCGCCTGCCTCCTGCAGGAGAGCCTCGTCCGGAGGGACGCTCCGCCGGGTCCGAGCAGCCTCCCTGGGGCCGTGCGGTGCTGCTCCGTGCGGAGCCGCTGTCCCTGCCTGCCTGCCTGCCTGCTCGCTGCCTTCCTCCGCTCCCTCTCCCGCTCCTGCCCCGCTCCGCCGCGGCCTCTTTTGTCGGCGGTGCCCGCGGCCGGCGGTGCGCAGCCGGGCGCGGTTCTGTTTCTCCCCCCTCCCCTTCCCGAATGTCGGTGTTGACAATAAATCCGGCATCTCTTCTGCCAATGTAAACTCTTCTGCCAGGTGGGTTTACGCTGTTTGTCATGAAAAGTTAAGCTTGTTCCTAAACATGCCCCGTTCTTGCCCTTTCCTGCCCGTGGAGAAGGAAGTGTTGGCTCGCAGGCTGCGGCGGGTTCTGTGACAAGATGTTTCGGGAGCACCTTGTGAGCCTGTGTTTCTCTGTCCTTGCGGCCAGCTCGGCTCCCAGATGGCCAATTCCCTCAACGGCCGGAACCCGCGCAAGGGACGGATCCTGGGATTCATCGATGCCATCCAGGATGCTGTGGGCCCCCCCAAGCAGGCAGCTGCTGACCGCAGGACTGTGGAGAAGACCTGGAAGCTTATGGACAAAGTGGTGGGTGTCTCAATGCGGCCGTGTATGCACACAGTGAAGAATGGGGCTATTTAAAAAGGTACACAGGGGCAAACGGCTTCTTCCTGCAGCTCTGAGTGCTGTGCTGCATTGTGCCTCGGGAAGTAAAGGACTTATGTTTTAGGTTACTTGAGCATCATTTGTCTTTTTTTTTTTTATTTTTTTTTTTATTTTTTATTTTTTCCTTTCCAGTGGCCTCTGGCTATGTTTTTTTAAATCTTGGTTTGTGGAAGGAAAACAAATGTGTGTGTTTGCCTTAGGCTATTGTTATTTTCAGATCCTTAAAAATGACTCAAAGTTGAAGAGCTGTCCTAACCAAAAGCTGCTTAACTTGTACTTGTAATCACATATTCTCTCTGTTTCATGCCGTGTCACACTGTTAGTCTGCAAACAAGATACCTGAAGTATTAAACTTGTCCTGTGAGATATGTTGGTGATGGCTACATAGATGTGTTTGTGCTTTTAGGAATGTGCGTGGGGACTGGGGGATGTCACTCTTGTCAGTTTAGTAAACAGATTAGTATGGCATGTCTAACTTTTTAAGTACATGTTCTGCATTTTAATGACTTGAAAGTACATCTACTATTAATTTTGAAAGTACAAATATACTGTACTGAAACTCATTTTTCAGGAAGTGGGGGGGATAGACTGTAGCTTTTAAGCTCTTATGCTTCCCCTCACCAGCCTGATACATTTTGTTTAGTGTTCTTTGAAATGACAGTATTCTTTGTATCATAATAGATTATCTAGGAGAGTGCCTTACCTGTGACAGGGAGAGTTTGTAACATGGCTTGATGTTCAGGAGACACTCTGCTTTGCACACTGGGTGATACTTAAAAGCTTCCTCTTGAAACTGCTGAGCATTGAGGATTGCTACCTGTTGGCCTTGGGTCTGTATGGTGATACAGTTACCACCTTTTAACTCTTTGATTCTTTGTAATTTAGTGCAACTCTTTGCTTTCCCTGTGGCTCTTGTGAATTAAGATGTTCAACATTTTTAATGCTTATAATTAGTTACACTGGCAGGGTGGAGACTAATGTAATATGCCTTTACAAGTGTTAAAGAATTTTTTAAAGTCCTTGTAGGCTCTTTTTTGATGCTCCAAGAATTGCTGGCAGCCATTATAAACTGAAACCCCAGCTTTAATAAAAATGGTTATTATCACAAAGAATTTGTTGACATTTTTCTGTCAATGGTCAGGATGCTGTTAACAGTGAGTTCTCTTGTACTAAGGACTGCAAGTATGAGTACTGGAGAGTAGAGACTCTTCAGTAGGAGGAAGTTTTCAGCTTGGGAACTAGGAATCTGGTTTGTTGTTGAAACCACATGGGGAGTGCAGAGCTCTGATTTCCCTGTGTCAGGCCATTTACAGATCTATATAGTAAGGTTATACCCTTATTTGTTTGTAAAATCACACTCACCAGAAAGTCTTTATCCCACTGCTTGGATTTCTGGATTGCTTTCACTCATCCAATACAGGATAACTGTATTTGTCACAGCCCATCAGAACAGCCTGTTTGGTAGAAGTCACTGGAAAGGCTGGGCATTGTGCTGTGCTTCCTTTTTCATTTTACTGTATAAGTGTCCTCAATTTGGATCTTTAAATGTATCCTCTTTAAGCTGCTCTCAGTTAATCAAATTTTATATCCAAATTGTATTAAAGTATACCAGACAGGATGATGTCATAGTGTGAGAATGCTCTAGCTTGTTGTTTGAGTTTTTAACATTTGGTACTTGCAGTGAAAGGATGTGTTTGAGCAAATTTAATATGCTGGCAAACAGATTTAAATCTCATAGCCTTGTGTGGCAGTAGGCACAGGAAGGTCATTTTTTCCTTGGTCTAGATCAAACCCAGGGATTAAAATCAGAAATAGAAACCTGCTCAATCAACTGTTGTTTTAAATCCCATTTCTGGAGTGTGTCCTATGACTGACTGACTGCTGTGGTGGGTGACTGATCAAATTAATACCTAGTGAAGGCAGAAGCTCTGCCAAGTCAGTGGGGTGCTACTCATGGTAAGGTTGTGGCTTGGAGGCCTATTTTACTTGTTGTAATCACAGTTATTATGCTTGTTTATTCTTTAACTATAGTAGATGTGGTAATCATCTTGTTGCTGTAGTAAGGTTGCTGAAGTTTCCCCCCCATCTAATGATGTTAAGAAAATGAATAATGGAAACAAAGCAAAGCTTTTATCTTGACCAAACACTGAGAAAAGAGCAGCCTTAAAAACTAGTGGTGGAGCTCAATCATTTCTGGTTGGCACTTCTGGTAATTTTTTTAAATTACCTTTCCTTTATTTCTTTCTGTAATTTTGTCCTCTGGCAGATGAAGTTTTCCGTATTAATTACTTTTTTGCAACAATAAAGGATTAACCAGTACTGCAAACATTCCTACTGTGTAAGAACTGTACTATGGGGATAGTTTTGTGTAGTATGCAAAAATTCTGACTACCTATACACCATGCAGACTTCTTTGCATTGGTTATGTGTCCTGCTTTCAAATAGTTCAGATTTCATGATAATGTCAGTTTTCCATGGGCTGATACTTTAGGTTGGAATAGGCAGTTTGGGTGCTTTCTCTTTAAACTTTTGTTATCAGTGTGAAAATAATCATGGATTTTGAAAAAGAGTTCTTTAGCAGGACAGAATGTTGGAATAGTGCTCCTGCTTAGAGCCATGTTTGTAAAAGTTACCATAAGCAACATTCTTGCAGGGAATAAAAAAATAATCTGCATGTAGATAGTCGGTGAATGTAAATTGCTATCTGTCTAAATATCTTTCCTTTTTATACTTCATACACTGGGATCTATACTTTTTGTGGTTTACTGGTATGTCTTATGTGAATTTACAGTATTAGCTGCATTATTAAAGGCAAACCAACCTTATTATAAGTGTTGAGTTTCTCTACTGTTTTCTCATGGGCAAGCAGTAGCTTTATCATTAAGAACCAAAAATACTTTAATTCCTGTGCAATGCAAAATATAATAGTTTTTTTATGGTTTAGAAGGCTAGCCTTGCTTTTCAATGCTTGGATTGTATAAAGAAGTTGACCATATATCTCTGGACTTGCAGGAAGCAAATTACTGTTTTTAAAACCTGATCTATGTTTTAGAAAGTTTGTATCCTGTAAATAAATGAAAAAGGAGTATTATTAACAAATAACTCAGGTCTTCCTTTACAGTGTGTATGAATTACATGAGTTTTATTTTTTTTAAGATTGTAAACCTAATGGCTCTTAAAACCTAGACTCTAGCTATGTATTACTATTAGAGAATAATGATATGTTGAAGCTAACTTTGGGAGAGAAATACAACTATGTAAACATTGGAGTAAGGTCTCTTTACTGCTTGGGCTATTTAGAGTTGTCAGTACTATTTTTTCACATGTCTCTCTTGTGGGATTCAACCTCATACAAAATCATGATACATTCTGAATGGGAGTTTTTAAAACAGGTATTTTTAATCAACTTTTAATCACTTTTCATTCCTCTTGTGCATTGGGCCTGAAAATAATTCAATTTTCTACTATGAAGATTAAAAATATTTTCTAAACTATTTGGGTGCTCTGTCATGGCCCATCAGTTGCTTGACTCTGACTGTATAAATGTGGATGGCATTGATTTGCTATTTAGTAATTATTTAAGAGCAAACTAGAGTGCTTCTCCAAAGCTTATACTATTGACTTAGTGAGTAAAAGCTGTGTTACTTCTGCAGCTTAGTATTGTGGTTTTCTTTAAATTAACATCTGTCAGCATCTGAGTATACACAGCATGGTAGTTGAAACTATGAGTGCATAGGTTATCCTTTGCAAAACTTCATGTAATTGATTCTGTGGTCAAAGTTGGTAGGCAATCTTAGGTCCTGTGTATGCTGCTTATGGAAAAAGAATACAACATTAAACAGAGAAACAGAAGCTTCTCTCTTTCTGTTTGGAAGGAAGTAAAATTATCCTCCAAAATCAACTATCCTTGTGTGTCTGTGGCATCAGCATTCTTATTGTTTATTTGTCCACTATGGAAACATATGGCTCAGTTGCAGTATGGTAGCTGTTGAGCAAGCACTTACTGTATCCTCAGACAAAAGGATTGGTGTTTGGGTCACCTCTGCTTATATTCTGATGAGAGTTTTTTTTCCTATGGAAAACAAAATGCATTGCTGTCCAGGTAACTTCAGGCAGGAAGAAGTCTATTGTGAAGAAGCATAATGCTCCACCTTCGACCATTTTCCTTATTAGTCCCTCCTGATTAAGTTTTTCAGTATTCATTGTTTTTGCATTGGATATTGTGGTTATCTTGTTATGGTATCTTAACTGCAGAGTTATCCTTTATGCTGCTTGTGATGTGTCAAGGCATTTCCTAATTCTTGGACTATTTTGTGCAGCGTGGCTGAGGACGCTGGTTCAGTTGGGCAGTTTGGAAGTGTGGTTTTGGAAGGGTGTGAGCACTGATGCTCCAGTTGTGCTGCCCCATTCACTGCAGCTGAAATCAGTGTTTAGCGGATGTCCTACTCATGACTTACTCTGTTTTAGCTGAGTTACTTTCCTTGTATTGTCTTTGACTAGCCTTAGGTGTTTAAACAGATTGTGTTAAGGCTGCTATCCTTTCCTTGAACAAGGGTCCTTTTGTCAAATGAGTCAAGGGCTTTCAACTTTGCTTTAAAAAGTGAATAGAGGATAGTTTTTAGCAAGAAATTGTCTATGTACAATAGGCTGCCATTACTCTCATCTCCAATGATGCTATGAAATAATGCCTTATAATTTTAAGTCATAATATCTTCTGAATATCTTCAAAAGTGTTACGAGTAGTGGCATTTATTTTGGTTAGGGGTGGGCGAGAAGGGGAGAGGGAGTTAATGTTTTTCTGCAAAGGAACTAGAGTTAAATTGTCTGGAAGTTCCAGAGTTAACTGTTTTTTTTTTTTTTTTTATTTTTTTTTTTTTTTTGTTTCAAATCAGTTTTCTGGTATATTAAAGTAATGCCTCAGTTTTCACGGTTGCAGTCTTATTGTTTCTGTGATTCTGCATTAAGTACTTGGATTTTCCCTGAGTGTGAGCTAGTAGAAGGAGCTTAATTTTGTCTCAGTTTGCCTCAATAAGAGAGATGTTTTTTACTAACTTGCTTACTGCCTTTCATTTTATACCACTTGCTAAATATATACATGCCTACTTGCAGTCATAACAATACAAAAATCACACAGTGATATGATTCATGTCCGCTCCTAATTTGTTGGTGAGAGTTGCCTTGTAAATTGAAATATAGATTTCTTTATTTTAGGGATGTTGGTTTTTTTTTTAAATGTTTGTTTGTTTTGAGTTCTGTTTTCTTTTGAAGAAAGGTCTTGGCAAATCTTTTGCGTCAGCAGGTGTCTTTTCTTATTGCTTACTTTTAATTGTGAACTGCTGTGGTATGTGTCAGGACATCCTGACTGGAAACCATATGGTTTACCAACCATCTCCTTGCAGACTTATTTCCTTTGAAGCCTTGTGTACTCTGTAAAGTGAAGGAAACCTTATACTGCTTCAGTGGATCTCTGGTTGGAAGATAATGTTAGTATTTTTTTCAGTTATAATGCCTAAAGCTAATTAAGCTGTAGAAGAATTTTTGTGTAGCATTCTTAAAAGCTTTTTCTAAAACGGAAGGTTCCAGTAATGTGCTCTATATCTCTCTAAATTCTGCAGAAAGTGTAGCCTTGTAAACTGTCTTGTATGTAATGATGTGAGACTGAAGAAAACTTCATAAAATTTCTGAAAGAGAAAATAGTTCTTCCTTATAACTGGATGTTCTTTTTGTATAGCTGAATTGACTGACTGTTGAAAATACAGCAACCAGCATAAGAAAATAGCTTTTTCTTGTTTTAATATTTTAATGGTATTTCTAATATATATGAAATCATTTATATTCTGCTTGTTGGCACATCTGATCAAAAAGACAGACTTCAGAAAGATAATTAATTCTTTGTTCATGAGATTTAAGTTAGGGTAAATAAGTAATTCAGAATGATTGCAGCCTTCTGTGCTTGTGGTCTACTCTCATTGCTGACTTTTCTCTCTGAATAAACATTTTGATCTTTCAGATAGTTTTTTCCCCTGCACTGTTACTTCAGAGAGCTGTAAGGCTTGATCAGTGACAGATTTGTGTCACCTGTAGTTGGTCTTGTGAAGAATGTCAGTCTAGTTTCAAATTTTCACTAAACTAGAAATCACAGTGAACTCAAACTTCAGAGGGGAAAAAAAATCTGGTTTTCCTAAAGATTTTCACTTCTGTATTTGGGATTCTAGTTCTTCTTACTCTTCTACTAAAAGAATTCATGTATGTCTCTGCATGGATGATTTTCAGGTCTAGCTACACATGTAAGATTCTTTGCCTGTGTTTCTGACATCTCCTTAGAGAATTCTCTGTCAGCCTAACTTCAGTGCTTTTCTGATCTTGCAAGAATGCTATCATAGCCAACCTTTATTCTTTGAAAATCCTGCTTTAGACATCTTCTAACCCAGGGCCCTGTTTTCCCTTTTTTTATAATCCTGGTGACCTTATCTTTATATCATAAAATATAAACGTCATTTTCAGTTTTGAAGCTCTTGCAGTTGTGTATTGCCGTTTCAGACTCCATTGCTGGTCAAGAGATGATCAAATATGTTTTACTTTAAGGAATCCCCAAATTATTTGAGAGCTTGCTGTGGAACTTTGCAGTTTATGTCTAGAAATATCAAACTGCTGGTGTTCAGTCTCTGAACCACTCTTCAGCATGTTGAACAGCTCATGTATTCATATTTGCCTGCTTCCTTTTTTTTTTCCTACTGAGATGTAAAATTCTCTGGGATAAGGCCTGTTCTACAACATGTCAGAAGGCTTCCTGACGTATTACTTGGTCTAAAAGTTGAAAGAATAATAGAAATTACTAAAATAACAATGAGTGAATGAGGAGAGCTATTGCAAATGTTATGTTTTAAATAATGTTTCAAATGGTGTTAGACTTTTTAAAAACTTAGTGCTTGACTTTAGTCCTATCTCCACTTTTCTAACTGATCTGTTGTTAAATCAGTCTTAATTGCCTGGTTGTGTTCTTGCTGCGTGTTTCGGACACAAAACTGTTTGCTTTGCTGTTTGGGCTGCATAAAGGTCTGTTAGTGGGAGCAATCTTAAGGCAGTGAATTTCTCAGTGGTGTAGATGTAGAAATTACAGGAGAGGTCAGCAATAGTGATAGAGCTCTGAATTTGGAGAGGTGAGCATTACAGGATACAGGTTCATTCCCCTCTCACCCAGAAAACCTCAAGGATGCATTTTTTTTCAAGTTGCTAGATTAGTGGGAATAGGAATCTGCTTTCAGCAGTATTAAGATGTTTTTATAACCTCATTAGTTACCTCAAAAGAATGTCAAAGTCACTAATATATAATGTGGCAATCTCCAAATGATGCCTGTAAAACTTCTATACCACATGGTCTTAATTTCTTTCATAAGTATTCGCATATGTACAGCTGCACACACATCTAGTATGTGTCCCTGTGCACTGAACAGCTCAGTGCAACAGCAGTCAAAAACTACCTGTTAGTTTTAGTCTCTTTTTCTTCTAGAACAGAGCATTATGGAACAAACTATCAGAAAATTTACATAGCTCAGAGACAATTCTACTCGTGTTCTGTTAAGGATGTGTAGGGAACAAAGAATACCTTTCTCTTCCAGTAAAATTTCCAGTGGAAACTAGATTCAAATAAAGGTATTCTATCAGCCTGAACTTATTCTTTGAGAAATATATGTTCAATATTTTTTGCCATTTGGGATCATAATGATTCCAAGTCCATTGAGATGTTTTCTTCTATTTGGTTTAAGTGGCAAAGTTTTAGTAGTGAAGGGACTACAGGGGCAGCTTTGCTGAGGCACTGCCAGAAGTCTCCCCCTGTCCAAGAAGGACCTGCTGCTGTCCAAGGCCAATCCCATTGGCAGCAGTGGTGCCTCTGGGGCAATGCCTTAAAGAAGGGGGAGAAAAACTAATTTGCAGAATCAAATTTGCAGGACAGAGGGGGAGTGGTGGGTGGAATGTGTTTTTAAGGTTTGGTTTTCTATTCTTGTTACCCTACTCTGATTTGATTGGTAATTAAATGAATTAAGTTCCCCAAGTCTAGGGGTTAAGTACCTGTGACAGTATTTGGTGAATGATCTCTCCCTGTCCTTGTCTTGACCTATGAGACTTTTGTTATGGGTAGGGGAATGAGAAAGAAGCTTTGGTGGGCACCTCCTCCCCCAGCCAAAAGCAAAGCACTGTACTTCTATTCTAGCCAGGAGCTAGAAAACAATGAGTTTATAATATTTTGTTTCCTGGTTTACAATATCTGTTTTTGAGTGACCTAAAGTCTGTGTGTTGTAGGTAATAACTTTTGAACCACTATCACAGTTCAGACCATTTTCTTATGTGCAGAGCTTTCAAAATTAAATTTCCTTAGCCTCCAAGAGGCTATATTGTTGTATAAAGAGAGCCAGCAGATGACAAAGTAATTTATGTCAGTTCTTAGTAGATACTTAACCTGCAGCAAACACATCTGTATGAAAGTACTGCTCTTGGCATTTGTTGCATGCTGTGTTTTGATATGCTCCTTAGCATATATTAGACAGGAAAATGCATACTTTCAGGGCAAACCCACAAAATATGTAGGTAAGCTTGTTTGCTTTTTATAGATGTGACAAGATTAAGTAAAATTTTGCCTCTTTTGACATTAGAGACTATCACAGAATATAAATGAAGTAGGATTTAATTCTCTGGGACTGGAGGTTAGAAAAATATGTTATACCAAATAAATTGGAATATATCAGATCAGTTTTTGTGTCAATGGATTTCTTGTCTTTTTTACATTCTCCTGTTTTTGCTTGTAGGTAAGATTGTGCCAAAACCCAAAGCTTCAACTCAAAAACAGCCCACCTTATATACTTGACATTCTACCTGATACTTACCAACATTTGCGACTTATACTGAGCAAATATGATGACAACCAGAAACTTGCACAACTCAGTGAGAATGAGTATTTTAAAATCTACATTGACAGCCTTATGAAAAAATCAAAACGGGCCATAAGACTCTTTAAAGAAGGAAAGGAAAGAATGTATGAAGAGCAGTCACAGGACAGGTAAGTTAAATACCTAAATATGAAGTAGATCATCTGGTCTGCCTGCATTCTTAACACTGTTTTCTGCAGCCATTGTGTTTTGACATTTTTAATTATTCAAAGAGCAGAAATATTTATTGCTTGGATTCATTGACCCTGCAGTTCAATCAGTAATTTGCTGGATTTGTTCCACTGTATGCTCTTATCTGTCGCTTTGTGACCTTTAAAACCAAGTGCATTTCCTTCATAAAACATTTATTTAATTGTAATTACTTATTCACAGGGCTTACAGTATGTAATTTTTCCTGTGGTAGAGAGAATGACTGTTCACTTGGATTGAGCTTGACCTCCCTCCCTGCCCTAGATCCTTAAACTTTGGGAGCCATGATGGGTATTGACTTAGAGTGTCACAAGTGGTGGAATGAAGCAAAACAATATTCACACTTTCTAGATATGATGTGATTTTATGATCAGGTAATGATAATGTTAGTTTCATGCCGTGAAACCTTTTCAGAAACCTAATGGATTCTTGATTTGCAGTGGTTCAGTTTTAATAAAAGGAATTAACGTCCACTTTATCTGCAGTCTTGGTGGTAATTGAAGATGTTTTTGATATTTGATTTGATTACCTAATATTTTAAAAAATAATATTTCAGGAAATTCTCTGCAAGATCTGCAGTCTTGTTTTGGGAAGAGGGGGGATACAACATTGTTGTGGCCATTAGTCTTTGCCTATGTGGTATTACTGTAAATCTATTCAAACTAAAAGAGATGCTCTTTCTGATGTCTCCTCTTTTTAAAGGAGATAGTGAGGATTGAGATGTCAAATGAATGGAGGACTGAATTCCTGCCCTTCTGTCTGTCTGCACTTGAGCTCTGAGGCAGGCATGGTGGCAGTGTAGTTTTACAGCTGGTGAAATTGTTGGTAGAAGCAGTGAAATGTCTACATTCTTATAAATGTCACTGCTGTTATGTTTGAATTCTACATATGTTCCTTCCAGATCTTTGGCAATGATTACAGCTACTCAGTCTACTGTGGTAGTCTTTTGGGCTTGATAGAGTGTCTGAAATTTTCTTGACACCTAAGGACTTTTTTCTTAGCATCAAGACTGTCCAGGTATGAATATACTTAGGCCAAAATGCTCCAAGAGTAGAAAAATAGACTGTTTAAGGTATTTTAGTGATCAGTAAAGATTTTGATGAATGAATATCTTTTTGTGTTTGAATTTGTAAGTGTGTAAAGCACTGTATATGTGTTCTCACCAGAACTTTTGAGAGAGTTGTTCATCACTGAGCTTATTGCTACCTATTTTAGGTATCCCATTTGCTAGATGAAGAATGATAGAAATCATTTTCTTTCAAAGGGAATATCAACTTGTTATGACAAGGGAAATTTGACAGAAGTAGTTGGATTATATAAGCAGGTTTTATTTTGACTTACCTGTGTTGTATGAAACCCTAATCTAGTGCTAAGTTTGCTTAAAGTTAGCAAAAATTAAAGCAAATTTCAGGGTCACTTTTTCAAAACACTTGCTATGATCTCTGTGCAGTCACTGATGCAGTATGTTAGTAACTCCAGTTGCTAGAGTTGCTTCTTTCCAGTTACCCATTTCAGTTCTTGTGTTAGGGTAACAGTGGTGATAAGACACTTTTTGTGAAGCACAGGTGTGCTTCCTTTGAAGAAGGTGTAGTTAGCATATTTGCTGTCTGTTTGGGCAGTAAGTTAATTCTTGTGAGATGGTTGGAGAGGAGGGATTTTAAACCAAATCATGCTAAAGAAGTGCACTGAATCACAATAACTATTTCAGGCTTTTAAAGTTAGTATTTCAGAGGGTGGCAGCTATCTTATTTTGCTTAACTGATGGAGTTCAGAGCTTTACTCTGTTGGATGTGTCTTGCTAAGAAGGGAAGATAGAGTTTACAAATTTGTTTCTTGTGCTTAACTGCATCTATTTTCTGAATATGGTATCTTCAACGAAATGATGTCCTTTCAGTCAAGTAACAGATAATGTCCAGTAAGTTCTATAAACTATACTAGATATAGTCCACACTGAAGTCTTTCTGTGAATGAAGTAATTTTACTTTTTGTCACAGATTTTACTTTTTAAAAGGTTATTAACACAAGCTTATTAGAATTACTGGTTCAGGCTCATCTACTCTTAAAAGGCTTTCTATGTCTTTGAAGGTTTTGGGGTTTTCTTTTCTTCTTTTCATTGCTTTTCTTTTTGTCCTTTGTTTATTGGGAAGTAAACTAAAGCTGGAAAGCATCATTTCAGTGAAGTCCAAACTTCCTTCCCTTTTGCTGTATTCCAGAATTAGGCATTCAGGAAAAATAAAATCTTTGTTGAATGGTAGTTTTTGAGACAAATGTGTTATCCAGGTGTAGCAATCAAGCACATAAGTTATAATAATAAGACTGTAGGAAGAATAAAGTGGCAGCGGGGAGATTACATTTGGATTCATTCAAGGTGCTGGACATAGTCTTTATTTCTTACTAATGGAGACAAGTGGGAGGTTTCCTGTGATTTCCTGTAAATCATATCCTTAGAAGAATGTCTTGAAATAGAACTTATTTTCTGACTTTTAATATTGCTCGCCTTCTACTATAGGCCCTTTATGTGAGGAGAGGCAGAAAAGTATAAAACCTATTTTAATAATCCCTTTAAAAATGCTCCTTGATTGAGGCAGAGTTGGTTGGCTGTTTGTTTTCAAGTGGTATTCCAGAAGTGGAAGATGGATATTTCTTAATTAGTGCATGGTACAGATGAAGCTGTCAAGAGAAGACTGATGGTGATTTTGTAGTCAATGTTAGGAAGGTGTGCAAGAAGGAAATGTCAAAGAAGTCCTTCAAGGTGATCACAAAACCATTTCTGTTTCTGTCTAGAAAGTCTTATTAAATTCTCTTGTGCATCTGCCCATTTGGTGTCTTGATTCAAATTATGTGTTTCTATATTGTACAGTTTGTTTAAATGTTGGTGCAGAATTCTTATAGTCTCTGAAGTCTTCTAAGGAAGTCTTGTACCTGCAATTCAAATGATAGATCAAGTTCTCCTTTGTTCCTTTTCATGGGTGTTACTGGGTTTATGGAGTGTTCATTCCTCTTTCTTAAGTCCATGTTGGCAGCTGTGATCAGTTATGGTTCTTGAACTGGTTCATTAACGTACACAATGTTCTTTCTGCCGCAGAAATTTCTCATCTATTTCTCCTTATTCTGAAAGTAAAGGGCTGATAAGAGGTTAAAATAGTATCAGGATGGATGTCAGGTGTGCCAATTGTAATGCAGTGGCCCTTTGTGTACTTCTGTCCTGTGGTAAGTGTGAGGTAACTCAGCCTGCTTCCTTATTGCCTCTGCTTACACTGCAACCTTGCTGTTTTATTTATAGCAATTTAGGAAGTTTATAACTTAGCTAGCCTCACAACTTATTTGTGTCTCCCGGCAGATTGTGGGAAGGATCAGGAAGAGTCAAGTTTTAATTCAGGATGATTTTGTTTGGAGAAGTTAAGATTGTTTTGGCTGATGGTTTTTTGTTTGGCAAATAGAATGTACAGATTCAGAAAAGGACGTTGTTAGTGGCCCTTTTCATAGAGCCAGTTTTGGCTTTTATCACATAGATAACTTGGTAATTGTTGAATAAAAGTTACGGGCTCCTTGGTATCCTGTGATTTTTTTCTGTTTTCCAAGCATATTATGTAGTTTTTGGTCTCCAGTAAATTCTCCTAAGCTATACATACCATCAATTTGTTGTTTAGCATGATATGTAAATCCCTAAACTTAAATTGTCTCAATATATTTTAGAGATATAATATATTGACTTTTTTAGTCTAATCTTGCTTAACCTGAGAGAAAGGAATCTAGTATTTGTTTTTTTTCCCCCTCTTGTATTTACTTACCTGTATTTTTAGATCATTCCTTCACTTGATTTTTAGTTAAAGAAGTTGCCTTACTCTGCTTGAAAGTCTTCTGGAGTGTTGGCCCATTGCTCCTGTGTCTCCCTAGAAAAAGGAGGGCACTTTCTCTTTCAATATATAATGTATGGTAAGGTAATTGGGAATGGAACTTGGCTGCAGTAAATAGCCTCTAACAAAGAGGCTTCTTCTGGGGAAAAGTGACTGCATGACTGATTAGATGGAGTTGCATGGGAGAAGGAAATGCAATGAATTTATTTTTTTTTTTAAGCTTTTATGTTATAGTGAGAATTTCCACCCTCTTCTCCCCCTCCTGTTCCTTAGATGTGATGTAAAACCAGATGTAAACCAAACAGCTTTAATAAACTCTTTGGTGTACCTGACCCACATGAGTATTGAGCTTCAGTGCAGATTTGGTGGAGCACAAGCTGTTTGCTATTTTTGGTTATAGTTGAAATTAAAAAAGGAGTGTTACACAAACTTTTCAGACAAAGAGACTCTTGTTGCAGCGGGCAGGTGAGAACACGTGGAGGTTACAAATGGTAGAGCAGTATTATGACAGCTTGTTCTCAGCACAAATGCAAACAGGCTGTGTGACTGCACTTGTTGTAAGGCAGTATTTGAATTTTAGATTTTTTTATCATTTTTAGTGCTCGGGGGCGGGTATTGTCAATTGAGAACAAAGGAAGTATTAGTACCAGAGTTACTTAGAGGCAACCATTTATTCAGATTGCAGATAAAGACAAGGATTTTAAAACCACAAAAAGATCCTCGTGAAAAAAATAATGGCTTGTAAATTCTTATAATTGATTTAGATCCTTGATTCATTTCTAGTTCTAGTAGAGGAGAGATATGTGCACTTTCTCTTACTTTTTACTCTTCTAAAATCAGACAGCATTTTCTGTTAGTGAAAGGTCTCTTCCAAACATTTTGCAAGTAATGTGGTGTTGGCAGTCATGTCTGAGCAGAGTTCAGCTGGTTGTAAGGGGATATATACACAGTCTGATAATTTCCTTGTTGTCTTTTGTATAATTATTTATGCCTCATGAAAGTGTGCGTGATGCTGTTGCCAAATTTTAAGGCGCCATACCACTGATGCTCATTTTAGGCAGGTA